CTATACGTCACGTAAAGAAAAGTATTTATTTTATAAAAGCGTTTTAATTAAATAAAAATAATACGATATTTTGAGTGCTTTTTTAGTATCGCCTGTCTCGAGATACGCGATTTTAAAAGCTATTATTAATCCAATCACGTAAGACTTGTTTGATAAGTAGCTAATATGGTAGAGTTAAGGCTTTGTATTTGTTTTATTTATATATATAATACTAATGCTAATGTGACGACCTTAAGCGATTACTTAAAGGAATTTACGAAAGCGCGAGGGTTCATATAAAAGCTTAAGAGAATCTTAAAGTAATGACTTAGAATTAATAACTATCGAGTATAAAGGTCGAAGGTAGCTAAGGTTTATATATACGAAGGTAAAAGCGCTAAAAGCTCGTGAATTATAGTTTATAAGTTAAAAGTAAAGAATAAAAAAATACGAAAAATACAAAAGAAAAAAAGAAAGAAATAGCTTAGCGCATATAAAGTGCGTTTAAAAAGCTTAGCGTATCGTTATATTACCTCTCCGTTCGAAAAAAGCTCGTTTTCGAGCGTTTATTTATTATTTTATTATTATTTAAGTGATCGTAATTATTAATACCGTTTGAATGAGCTTTGATTAATTCGAAAAGCTTCGCGAGAGAGCCGAGGAGCTTTTTATGCTTTAAATAGAAATTACGTATCTTAAAAGGAGCGTATATTGTGGTGGAGTTGAGGCTCTGCTTTGTTTTATCCATGTATATAGTACTGATGCTAAGCACCTTTGTCACGTAGGTGCGCTGCATGCTCTAGCCTTGCTAAGCACGTGGTTAGGTTACGTGCAAGCTCTTATATAAACGAGTAATTAATTCTTCCTTAAACTAGCACTATATTATTATACAATATAATATACGTACTTATAATATACATTCGAATATCTTTCGATCGTCTTTTTTTTTCTTTTTATTTATTTACGATTTTATTATAGCTATATTCATATATATCTCTTGATTTGACGTTAAGTATATATCGGAGCTCTTCTCTTTTATATATATTTAATAATCTACGTAAAGAATCGAATTAAAGGTTAGTTTTTATACTTCTTTTAGACTTGCTTCTTTTGCGAAAAGATATATATTCGGAGTTTACGTTATACGCTAAGCTATTAACTATATGCTTTTGCAATGCTTTTTTAAAAAGTATTCGATATACGCTAAGCTAATAATCAAATGCTTTTGCATATAAGCTTCGAGGCTATTGCTTTAAAAGCGATTTTTCTTCGATTTATATCCGTCGAGCATATTATTCGGTATATTCGATAAGTATTATTTAAAAAGTCGTTACTTTAGTTCGGAGATCGAGCTAGCTAAAGTTTAATTTAATATTTATAGAGTTCTATTTACTTAAGCTACTTTGCACGGCGATACGCTCGAAGTACTATTCGTTTAATATATTTTACTTTTTCGATTTAATATCGCTTTTAATACGAGTCTATTGCTTTTTCTTTTTTAAAAAGATAAGCAATAGCTAAGTACCGGAAATACTACGCTAAGCTTAAGAGGTTGAAAAATTTAATATTTATTTCGCAATAAAGATTACGTATAAAAACTTCGAATTGCTTTCGAATATCTTTCGCTTTAACAAATAAAAGATACGACGAACGGAAATAAGTGTTATGCAATTCGAAACCGTTTCGATATCGTATTATATTAAAAGCAAGCTATATGCTTGCATAAAAGCTCGGCTATTACTCGACTTCGTTTTTATTTTAATATATTTAATCTTAATAATTACTTTTCCGCTTATTACGAATCTTGCATTATAAAATTAAACGTATTATTAATATTTATTATATCGATTTAATTTCGATTATCTAGCTCGAAGCGATCGATACTCGATTTTTTAATAAATCATTTTCGACGCATCGGGATCTTATATTTTTATAATATTTTTTTATATATTTAATATTTATTATAAATTATATTTATTTTATATTTATTATTTATTTATATTTATATCATTTTCGTTCTTTTTTCGTATTCGTTTCGAAATACATTTATATTTTAATCGATATTTATTAATTCAATTTAACGGGCTTACGTTAAAGCTTTCGGAAATTAAAAAAAGCTATAACTTTTTCGATTTAAAAAGATTTCGGACTTAACGAAAATGCTACTCGCAAGCTAACTGAAGATAAAATGAAAAGGATTTAAGCCTTTTTACCTTTCGTAAATGCTTCGAATTACGTAAGTATTCGTAATCTTTTTTTTAAACTTGAAGCTTTTAAAATGCTTGCTTTCGATAAAGCTAATATTACGGATTATATTCGCTAGCTCGAACGAGCGTTTAAAGATTACGATATCGTTAGCGATTCGAAAAAAAAATAATGCTTTATTAAATATAATATTTTTAGCTTTTTCGATTATAATATACGTTGCAATATCGAAAGCTTCGGCGGCTTTTCGAATCCGAAAGTAATTTAAAACGACTTTAAATCGGTAATTAAAAAAGAATATAAAGCTTTCGACCTAGCTAAATAAAAATATAATATTAGCTTTTTAAACGACTTAAGTAATAAGTAAATAGCAAAGGAAAAAGCTTTTAAAGCGGAGCTTTTACAATTCATTCGATAATTTAATTTTATAAGCTTTGCTTGCTTAAAAAATAAAAATATTACCGATAAGCAATTAAAATAAAAGTTCTTCGATTGCTTATTATTATCGATGCAAAATCGGATTTAAAAAAATATTAAACTTAAAAAAGATCACTTGCAATCTTACGATATAATATATATTATAATAAATAATTTAATTAAGTAAAAATAAATTACTACGAAACGGATTAAAAAATACGATTACGCCGAAATCCTTAAAGCTTTTTTTCGTTATGATCTTTATTAAAACGAAAACTCTCGTCTTTAAATATCGTTTATTATTCTCGAAAATAAGCGAAACTTATACGTTTCACTTTTTTATAACATTTACTTTAGCAGTACTTATGCTTTTTTTTTATCGCGCAAGTATTATCGTTACGAATTCGATTACTTTATTCGTCGATCTTAACTTAAAGATCGAAGCTTTTATAAAACAGCTAGCGAAAGTTAGTATTTATTTAAAACTTATCGATAGCTTCGCTTTCGTATCGAAAAAAGCTTATATGAACTTATTAAAAGCAGCTTAATACGAAGAGACTTAAGAGATCGCTTTGCATCGGGTCTACGAGATTAATACGGCCGATACTTATTCGAATTAAAGCTACGCTATATCGAAAGAGAAACGATTATTAAACGATTTTACGTATATTTTTTATTAATATTAACAGATTGCTAATTTATTTAGCTATTAATAAAAGCTTTATAAATATTAAAATTAATGCTATTTGTTTATGCTTTAATACGGATTAGCTTTTCACTTTAATAAAGCGGACTTAATATATATAAGATTATATTAAAGAAAAATACTATCGATCTCGTTTTAATTTCGAAACGATACTTTTAAATACGAGCAAGTTTTAAAAAGAGTTCGTAAAACGATAAATAATCTTAATTTAAAACGACGTTATAAAGCTTTAAAAGCATAACGAAAATCTATTAAAAAAGCTATACGAGAACGCGTTAAAGCGCTTATTCGAGCAGCTAACGGCGGTAATGCGAAAGCTTTTCGTATTAACGACTTTAATACTTCGGATATAATTCGCTAGCGATACATTATATTAGCGGATTTATATGCTTGCGTATTTAATACAAAAGCTATTATTGCATCGATAAAGACTCGAGCGCGCAACGCAGCTTTTCGAGTTACGCTATACTCGTTAAAAGACGCTCTTTCGATAAAAGTAAAGGTTTAATTTATTTATAATTAACTTAAAGTTATTTTCGCTAAGCTAATAGAAATAAATAAACTCGAGCCCGCTTATACCGCGATTTTAAACCGAAACGCTTTACGACCGAAA